TTTGTCCTTGCGTATTCAAGCTGTGTTATATTTTGTCACGTATTCAAACTGTGTTATATTTTGTCCTTGCGTATTCAAACTGTGTTATATTTTGTCACGTATTCAAACTGTGTTATATTTTGTCACGTATTCAAACTGTGTTATATTTTATCCTTGCGTATTCAAACTGTGATATATTTTGTCACGTATTCAAGCTGTGTTAAATTTTATCCTTGCGTATTCAAGCTGTGTTATATTTTGTCCTTGCGTGTTAAAGTTGTGCTATATTTTGTCACGTATTCAAACTGTGTTATATTTTGTCCTTGCGTATTCAAACTGTGTTATATTTTGTCACGTATTCAAACTGTGTTATATTTTGTCACGTATTCAAGCTGTGTTATACGTTGTCCTTGTGTATTCAAGCTGTGTTATATGTTGTCCTTGTGTATTCAAGCTGTGTTATATTTTGTCTTTGTGTGTTCAAACTGTGTTATGTTTTGTCCTTGCGTGTTCAAGCTGTGTTATATTTTGTCCTTGTGTATTCAAACTGTGTTATATTTTGTCCTTGTGTGTTCAAGCTGTGTTGTATTTTGTCACGTATCCAAATTGTGTTATATGTTGTCACGTATTCAGTTTGTGTCATATTTTGTCCTTGCGTGTTCAAGCTGTGTTATATTTTGTCCTTGTGTGTTCAAGCTGTGTTATATTTTGTCCTTGCGTATTCAAGCTGTGTTATATTTTGTCACGTATTCAAACTGTGTTATATTTTGTCACGTATTCAAGCTGTGTTATATTTTATCCTTGCGTATTCAAGCTGTGTTATATTTTGTCCTTGCGTGTTCAAGTTGTGCTATATTTTGTCACGTATTCAAACTGTGTTATATTTTGTCATTGCGTATTCAAGCTGTGTTATATTTTGTCACGTATTCAAACTGTGTTATATTTTGTCACGTATTCAAGCTGTGTTATACGTTGTCCTTGTGTATTCAAGCTGTGTTATATGTTGTCCTTGTGTATTCAAGCTGTGTTATATGTTGTCACGTATTCAAACTGTGTTATATTTTGTCCTTGTGTGTTCAAACTGTGTTATATTTTGTCCTTGTGTGTTCAAGCTGTGTTATATGTTGTCCTTGTGTGTTCAAGGTGTGTTTTATTTTGTCCTTGTGTTCAAACTGTGTTATATTTTGTCCTTGTGTGTTCAAGCTGTGTTATATGTTGTCCTTGTGTGTTCAAACTGTGTTATATGTGGTCCTTGTGTGTTCAAGCTGTGTTATATTTTGTCCTTGCGTGTTCAAGCTGTGTTATATTTTGTCCTTGCGTGTTCAAACTGTGTTATATGTTGTCACATGTTCAAGCTGTGTTATATGTTGTCACGTATTCAAGCTGTGTTATATTTTGTCCTTGTGTGTTCAAACTGTGTTATGTTTTGTCCTTGCGTGTTCAAGATGTGTTATATTTTGTCCTTGTGTGTTCAAGCTGTGTTATATTTTGTCACGTATTCAAGCTGTGTTATGTTTTGTCCTTGCGTGTTCAAGCTGTGTTATATTTTGTCACGTATCCAAATTGTGTTATATGTTGTCACGTATTCAAGCTGTGTTATATTTTGTCTTTGTGTGTTCAAACTGTGTTATGTTTTGTCCTTGTGTGTTCAAGCTGTGTTATATTTTGTCCTTGTGTGTTCAAGCTGTGTTATATTTTGTCCTTGTGTGTTCAAGCTGTGTTATATTTTGTCCTTGTGTGTTCAAGCTGTGTTATATTTTGTCCTTGTGTGTTCAAGCTGTGTTATATTTTGTCCTTGTGTGTTCAAGCTGTGTTATATTTTGTCCTTGTGTGTTCAAGCTGTGTTATATTTTGTCCTTGTGTGTTCAAGCTGTGTTATATTTTGTCCTTGTGTGTTCAAGCTGTGTTATATTTTGTCCTTGTGTGTTCAAGCTGTGTTATATTTTGTCCTTGTGTGTTCAAGCTGTGTTATATTTTGTCCTTGTGTGTTCAAGCTGTGTTATATTTTGTCCTTGTGTGTTCAAGCTGTGTTATATTTTGTCCTTGTGTGTTCAAGCTGTGTTATATTTTGTCCTTGTGTGTTCAAGCTGTGTTATATTTTGTCCTTGTGTGTTCAAACTGTGTTATATTTTGTCCTTGTGTGTTCAAGCTGTGTTATATTTTGTCCTTGTGTGTTCAAGCTGTGTTATATTTTGTCCTTGTGTGTTCAAGCTGTGTTATATTTTGTCCTTGTGTGTTCAAGCTGTGTTATATTTTGTCCTTGTGTGTTCAAGCTGTGTTATATTTTGTCCTTGTGTGTTCAAGCTGTGTTATATTTTGTCCTTGTGTGTTCAAGCTGTGTTATATTTTGTCCTTGTGTGTTCAAGCTGTGTTATATTTTGTCCTTGTGTGTTCAAGCTGTGTTATATTTTGTCCTTGTGTGTTCAAGCTGTGTTATATTTTGTCCTTGTGTGTTCAAGCTGTGTTATATTTTGTCCTTGTGTGTTCAAACTGTGTTATATTTTGTCCTTGTGTGTTCAAGCTGTGTTATATTTTGTCCTTGTGTGTTCAAGCTGTGTTATATTTTGTCATTGTGTGTTCAAACTGTGTTATATTTTGCCCTTGTGTGTTCAAGCTGTGTTATATTTTATTCTTGTGTGTTCAAACTGTGTTATGTTTCATTCAAATGTGTTGACATTTTTTCTAAAGCTTGTCCTTGTATGTTGACGCTGTGCTATGTATTGTCCTTGTGTTTTTATGCTTAGGTAAATTTTCCCTACTTTTACCTTATTCTTAATCAACCGTTACAACAATTACATGTTTGAACATTTTTTGATTGACTAGCACAAATTGCATGATATTACGATAAGCCTCAAAATATCCATTTTAATTGCACAATACGTGATATGTTTTCTGAGAGGTTTCACTGCCATAGTACAAATTATTTTCTGACTTCGAAAGAGATCATTTCCAAATTAAATAACATAGATAAAAGATATTATTTGGTAAAGCAAATCTATAAATTTTTAAAGAATTTTAGATAAACCAAAGTGTGAACGGTACAGTTTACTTGTCAAGTAAACATTTCTATCAGAGATGTCCTGTGTTATCATATCATAAACAAAAAGGTAACTAATATAGAGACAAAAGAATTAAACATTTCTTTAGCTGTGGTTGATATGAAGGTCACAAGGTCAAGATTTACATAACTGAAGCTTGGTTCACGCATGCGTAGAGGTATCCAAATGTTGTTTTTTAACCTTAGCTGACAACACTTCACTCAAAACAATTGTATGGCCGATGTGACCTTTTATTTAAATTAGAATTTTGGGGCAGATCGGGTCAAGCGTTTCACAAACACAGAGCTCTAATGTTTTATGGCGTTAAAGCTGAAGTGATTTAAACATTGTTATCGTCCCGAGCTGTCAGATAGGGTACGCCGAGTTTTTCTCCACGGATCGTGGATTTCCGGGAACCTGCAACTCAGGGAAGAAAAAAGAAAATTTCTTACCATGATGTTAGTAACAATAACCCGCTTTTATCAAACCAATTTCTAGAAAAAATGGATATCACACTCTTTCAAAATCTAGATTTAAATGCAAAACCGTTGGGACAAAATAGATTGGTTTCATTGTAAGATTCCTTATCACATAGAAACATGGATTTTCAGAGCTACTAAAAATGTATCAACAAAATATGCAATCATTTGCTGTTTGTATTGTCTTTTACGTGTTTCATATAATCAATAATAATCTTCTTACAATTGATATTCTTCGTATGCAATAATCTGTTTTCTAACATGTATGTTCATTTTATCCCTTATAACATGAAAGTTTATTCTGCCGTTTTTTTTACAATAATAGCGGATCAGTGTGCAACAGTAGAAGAAAATTGCAACGAAGACAGAACGGGATTCGAACCCAGAACTTCCGGACTCTAGACTTTACAACCTGTTGAGCTACTTGGGTGCCGGAAGCCACCCGACCGATACTTTAGCCTCCGAAGATAAAACTATATGCAACCCTTGTACATGTATTACAGTCACAGGAGGGGAACAGCAATAGAACCAGGCCGGGATTTGAAATTAGGACCTCCGAATTATAAAAGGACGCTCTAAACAGCTACCAGATCATGGTAGTCAGCCAACCCATTGTCGTTCAAATGTATATTTTACCTATCTCAATACTGTTTCAACGCCTTTTATATGGACTATTATTTTATCATTATTTTCTTTGATTCTTTCATAGTACTTAAAAATAATTTGTATCTATTCTACAACAATTTTGAAACAGTTTTGTTAACTTATATCAATATCACTCTTGTTGGCCGAGATGGAAGCCTTCAAATGGGACCCAATACCTGTTCACGTCTGATCAGGATGGAACCCTGGCCGGCATGATGAAAGCCGACTGCACTTACCACTACACAAATACTTATATTTTGTTGCGTGCATGCTGTCGTAGATTGTTTTTCTCATGTTTGCACTAATACATTTTGTAAAGTTCTAAGCGGTAACGAAAACTCCTTGTATCAGGTATCTTTTACCGAAAACACAACCTTTTTAAATATCGAATTAGCTGGAGAAATTATCTTCTTGTGGGTTCTGATGTTATTTTTGTGATGATGACCACAAAAAAGGTGTCATGTCATAACAAATGAAAAATGGTGAGATTAAAAGGCGGCGTGTTATACAAGGTCCAAACCAACTCCTCCCTTAATCCGTCATCGGCCCCCTCGGTGGATGAGATGGGCTTCTAGGTAGGAAATAGGAGATCGACAAAATGGACAGAACTTCAATATCAGAACGTCTCGATGTAGGGACCGATTAGGGACACGCAATCAGGGTATCGATCTGTCCGTGGTTTTGTTGTCGGGGAGCGGTCGTTATTTGTGATTGGGTTCTGGTGTAGGGACCAGTCGTTATCAACTCCAAGGTCATTAGCGACGCTACTACGTACAAGGGTGAAAATTGTGGGATCTAATCCTAGCAAATGAAGCGGCGCAGATGTGATGAGAGTAGCACGCGCTTCTAGATTCCTTTTCATGATATTAATTGAATTACGGACACGGCGATCACAATGTGTGGCCGGATCCAAATGGCTTTCAACGAACTTGAGAAATCGTTGATGATCCCACATACTCCAAGAAAGAAAGAGGGTTCATAAAGCCATCCATGGCAAAGGGGTCTACGAAGAAATGAAATAAAGTCTTCCTACAGGTAGGCCGCCCACATGTAATCAGCTTATTGGCCGTCTTGTTAGATTGATGGTACGTGTAATGTTTAAGTATATCTATATAGATCATTGACAAGGTTAACTTCGAGACAAAACATAGATATGTTTTGATTTTAAAGTTGCAAATACTTAGAGAAGTTATGAAAATATTAAGCAAGCGTCACATTTGTCATATTTGCTGAAGACAGAATCCACCTGCGGGCAAAACGCGTGAAGTGGATCTAGCTTTAAACAATCTCAAATTCGAGATTTAATTTTATTGAAGTGTAGACATGCAGTATGCACTGTGTGTGTACGTGGTGAAATATTACGACAATGTCAAAACCAGAAAAACACTTAGATTACAAAAGATTGCCTCTCACTGTAGATAAGTGTGTTACGTTCTTCACAGTTTTCTCTCTCATGTTCGGGTACACTCTAACGACCACCTCGTCTCCGCCATCTTGAGACGTGTTATAAAGCGTAATAGTAGTTTTAATTACTTTGTGATTTCAATCACCCTCGACATCAAACAACGACACCTAAATTGCCTATTTTTATAGGAAGGGAGTTATGATGACCAAATGCACAAGGGAAGCGCTCTATGTAAACTGGAACCACCAAGTCAATGTTGACGGAACGCTTGAAGGGTCATTATACCGGTTCTCAAGTGTTTTCCTACCCTTACAGAAAACCGTACCCCACACTCGGCCAGTATTAATGGTTTTAGGTTGCCGGCTAACAGCAGATTTGGTCCTAACTGGAAGTACTTCTTTTTCTTCCTTAGCCTGTTTTAACAGTGGACGAGTATTAGTACTCCCATGATATAATAATCAGGTATGATATAACACGTACAAGCTTCTGACAAGGTACGTCACCATCTGATCTGACGTACACAGTCTCAACATATTGTGACAACAATAACGAGGAGATATAAGAAAGATGTGTAAAATGTTTTTCATTTTTTGAACAACTTCCTCTTTAGCTATTATATATACAATCTAAAAAGACAAATATCTCAATAATGAGGTTACGTTTTCATTTTTTTCTAAATGGAAAAACGACGCTCCGCTTTTTAGAGACCATTGACACACATTACTCCGAATCCGAATAGTTAATTGGTAATCCTGATTACAGAGGGAAATCCAGTAAGGGATACCCTCGTTCCACAGTGTTAATACACCGGGATAAAATCCTGTAATGCTGTATCTCACTACATGTTGTCGTGTGTGTAAGAGGAGACTAATGTGCGGCTTCAAAAGTGTGAGAGGTTTTAATTTTCTTCGGCGTCTCCTGTTTGTATGGCGTAGGGGAGACCAGTGCCCGTATTCCTGAAACCGTTCTCACGCTCAAGCATGAATTATGTGCTCAATGCTTATTTCTTGTTTCAATGATAAATTAATAAACAAAACGTTATTTTTCAATGATTGGGAAAAACTTGAAGGAACTTAAAGCCAGATACTGTTTTTAATGTTAACATTTGACTTTTCGATTGTTTTACAAAATATAAGTGAGTTTCAAGAAATTTTGTTTGAGCACAGAACCTATGCTTGAGCATGAGAACGGTTTCATGAATACGGGCCCCGGGTTGATCTGCTGTACCCATGGCAACGCTTGGAGTCGCTGTCTTTTCTCCTCCTCCCCTCCTCCTCCTCCTCCTCCTCCTCCCCTGTTCGTTCCTTTTGGTAATGTCCGCCTGGACACCCGTCTTCATTAACATTGCCTGCTGCATGACAAGCCCAACCAAACAAGCTTGATTGCTTATTTGTTTGTTTGTTCGTTCGTTTTTAGTTGTTTGTTTGTGTGACGTCATTGCAACAGGTATCGGTCATAAAGCAACCGATATAGAGATACGTAATAAATAAACACAGTAAACAACATAGTTTACTTAACAAAAAATATTTGTTTTTTATCTTCCTCTTAATTTGCCAAAACGTAATGAAAAAATAGCCCGTAATTTTCTTCACTTTAATAAGATACGTGGATGTTAATTTGTAATTGCATAATTTGGTCCAAAAAAATCTTAAATTAGCCTCGTTAGCATGCACGGATTAAATGTTTGGTGTCATAAAAGTCAAAAATACGTAAAATGTATCTTCTTAAAACCTATACCATGCAATCAGGGAGTAGATCTGACAGTGCATAGTCAACGGAGGGTCTGCTTTTGTGGACTTTGGTGAGTAACTTTTGTTTAAAGGGTAAAAGGAAAAATTAGCAGTCACTAATTCTTAGGAAATGACTTTTGAGCATCAAATCTCGTCAAATTTTCGTGTTTAGTCTCAAAAATCATATCTTTAGGTTGATTTTTTTTCTGTCTTAATTTGAGGGGTAAATTGTATTGATCTCCAAAGATTACAGACTAATTCGACTGGCTGATTTGCTTTTTATTTTTATGTGTTTTGTTACCAACAAAAAATTATGTTTCAATAGAATAAGTTGGAATTTATAGTTCATAATTTCAAATGAAAGATCTAAAATCATTTTAAAAAACACCCTAGTTTACGTTTTAAAGAATATACCATCCTAACCTGAGGTGCAACTGAAGAACGTTCCGCCGTCACAACGATGCCATTCTTGCTGACGTCAATGTTCATCGATTTCGTCTGCTGTTGTGATTACATACATTTTTCTTTAGCTCTTTAACACACAATGGTCTTCTTCAATTCACTTTTATTTCAGTTTTAAGAGACATATATGCTCAGAAATATCAATAAAGTTACTTTAATTCAAATTTTGGCGAATATTTATAGATATGTACTTGAAAACAAGACAAAGAGCTGTGAGTATTCTTAATAGAATATAGGTCCTCTCTAATAATTTATTGGCAGAAAATAACTTTTCACAAAAATTGAAAGACTTACATTATCCTCTTAAAAATTAGGTGTACAGTCTTGCAAACTTGTACTCATTAGAAAACCGTAATATTAGTGACAAATAGTTAGCTATGTACGAGTGCTGGTCTTCAAAGCCTTAGATTAGTTGTCAACAATCTAGTCGAAACGAGCGGGTCATTTGTCATTTGCTTTGAACCTAGTTATGCTAGTACCATGACATCGAAGATGGTTGGTGGGTTTTGATGGTTTAGGTCCTCTGCTCCGGCTATAACAGTGACTTCGACCATGGACATTAGTGTGTAGAAGTTATGAATGTGTGTCTGTGGGGGTACCCCCTGAGAAGTTATGAATGTGTGTCTGTGGGGGTGCCCCCTGCGAAGTGATGAATGTGTGTCTGTGGGGTACCACCTGAGAAGTTATGAATGTGTGTCTGTGGGCGTACCACCTGATAAGTTATTAATGTGTGTCTGTGGGGGTACCCCCTGAGAAGTTCTGAATGTGTGTCTGTGGGGGTACCCCTTGAGAAGTTATGAATGTGTGTCTGTGGGGGCACCCCCTGAGAGGTGATGAATGTGTGTCTGTGGGGTACCCCCTGAGAAGTTATGAATGTGTGTCTGTACTGGTACCCCTTGAGAAGTTATGAATGTGTGTCTGTGGGGGTACCCCCTGATAAGTTATGAATGTGTGTCAGTGGGAGTACCTCCTGATAAGTTATGAATGTGTGTCAGTGGGAGTACCTCCTGAGAAGTTATGAATGTGTGTCTGTGGGGGTACCACCTGATAAGTTATGAATATGTGTCAGTGGGAGTACCTCCTGATAAGTTACGAATGTGTGTCAGTGGGAGTACCTCCTGATAAGTGATGAATGCGTGTCTGTGGGGGTACCCCCTGATAAGTTATGAATCTGTGTCTGTGGGGGTACCCCCTGCTAAGTTATGAATGTGTGTCAGTGGGGGTACCCCCTGATAAGTGATGAATGCGTGTCTGTGGGGGTACCCCCTGAGAAGCGATGAATGTGTGTCTGTGGGGGTTCCCCCTGAGAAGTGATGAATGTGGGTCTGTGGGGGTACCCCCTGAGAAGTGATGAATGTGTGTCTGTGGGGGGTACCCCCTGATAAGTTATGAATGTGTGTCTGTGGGCGTACCCCCTGATAAGTTATGAATGTGTGTCTGTGGGGGGTACCACCTGATAAGTTATGAATATGTGTCTGTGCGGGTACCCCCTGATAAGTAATGAATGTGTGTCTGTGGGGGTACCCCCTGAGAAGTGATGAATGTGTGTCTGTGGGGGTACCCCCTGATAAGTGATGAATGTGTGTATGTGGGGGTACCCCCTCAAAAGTGATTAATGTGTGTATGTGGGGTACCCCCTCAGAAGTGATGAATGTGTGTTTGTGGGGTACCCCCTCAGAATTTAGGTATTTTTTCTGTGTCTTCTGCTTATTGGACATTGAAGAAAGCCACACGCGATCTTAACTTTTCTTTGTTAACTTCCCATTTTCAAAGGAGGCACGGTAGGCTAGTGGTAGGTCGCCGGGCTCGTGACCGAAGGGTGTTGTATCTTTGAGCAAGATACTTTACTCCGCTTGTTCCAGTCTACTCAGCTGTAAATAAGTACGTGGTTGGGCAGTGCTAGAATTGTAGAATGCTAGCTGTGAGCGCCAAAATGAAAGCACCGGCTGTATGCTCCCCAGGGAGTTGAGAACGATATTGGCTGGTTGCAAAAGGCCTTATAACCACGAATAATAATGTGTGATCCCCTTTGAGACGACCTACAAAATAGGTTGTGGTAAAGCGGTATATAAGAACCTCGAACTATTATTATTTATTATTATTGTATTTATTTCCGAAAGGCCATGACTTTTGCGAGGACGTTAAACCCTATGCAAACAAATCGAAGAATGTTATAAATAAACATGATGATAAAGTCATTTACGATAAAAAAAAAATAAAAAAAATGATGTACTGTGTAGTAACGTAATTATAACAGTGATGTCGTTTGTCAAAAAGTTGATTTCTGTAGCCAAAAACATGTTCTGATGATTCCGTATTCTGCTTGTGATGGGTTACAGCCACGAACGGTGTTGTAGACAGGTTGGAGTTCGAGAGACCAACAAGTTAATACAGAGTGGGGTACATGTTTGACCAAGCTTGACCGCATGACGTCAAACGTTCCGAACCTCAGTGCATAGTTGACTAGGGACGTTCTCTGAGCGCTCTTGTCTACACAGAAACAGTTAGCACTTGGGCAACACAAAGTTTGTTCTGGGGATCACTGAAGATCTATATAGGTAAACCCGCTTGAACATATAGACAAGACAATCTTCTGTTATAATGGTGTCATCGTGTTACGCCTGGCGCAGTGTATGGAGCTACATTCATGCCAATCGCGTCCTGGATTTTTGTTGGGTTAAAAGTTTAGATGGCAACTGAAGTGAAAGAAATGCGATGATTTGGTTTGGTTTTGTTTTTTAACGTCCTTTTAACAGCTAGGATCATTTAAGGACGTGCTTCCATGCGTGTTATGCTCGAGTGGTTATGTGTCTGTGTGCTGAAGGCAGGGTATGTTGATGTTTTTGCCTCCTTGTGATAGCGCGGATCTTGTGTTGTCTTTAGAGTGCTACCTCACTGAAGTACCATGCTGAAGGCACCCAGCACAGTATTCCACCCGCTCACTTTATACTGACTGACACTTAATGCTGAACGCTAAGCAGGGAACAACAACTTCTATCTTTAAAGGATTTGGTATGCCCCGGCCTGGGGACAGAACCCATTGCCTATCCCACTTTGGTATGCCCCGGCCTGGGGACAGAACCCATTGCTTACCCCACTTTGGTATGTCCCGGCCTGGGGACAGAACCCATTGCCTACCCCACTTTGGTATGTCTCGGCCTTGGGACAGAACCTATTGCCTACCCCACTTTGGTATATCCCGGCCTGGGGACAGAACCCATTGCCTTCCCCGCTTTGGTATATCTCGGCCTGGGAACAGAATCCATTGCCTACCCCACTTTGGTATATCCCGGCCTGGGGACAGAACCCATTGCCTACCCCTCTTTGGTATGTCCCGGCCTGGGGACAGAACTCATTGCCTACCCCACTTTGGTATGTCCCGGCCTGGGGCCAGAACCCATTGCCTACCCCACTTTGGTATGTCTCGGCCTTGGGACAGAACCTATTGCCTAACCCACTTTGGTATATCCCGGCCTGGGGACAGAACCCATTGCCTTCCCCGCTTTGGTATATCCCGGCCTGGGGACAGAATCCATTGCCTACCCCACTTTGGTATACCCCGGCCTGGGGACAGAACCCATTGCCTACCCCACTTTGGTATGTCTCGGCCTTGGGACAGAACCTATTGCCTAACCCACTTTGGTATATCCCGGCCTGGGGACAGAACCCATTGCCTTCCCCGCTTTGGTATATCTCGGCCTGGGAACAGAACCCATTGCCTACCCCACTTTGGTATGTCTCGGCCTTGGGACAGAACCTATTGCCTACCCCACTTTGGTATATCCCGGCCTGGGGACAGAACCCATTGCCTTCCCCGCTTTGGTATATCTCGGCCTGGGGACAGAACCCATTGCCTACCCCACATTGGTATGTCCCGGCCTGGGGACAGAACCCATTGCCTGCCCCGCTTTGGTATGTCCCGGCCTGGGGACAGAACCCATTGCCTACCCCTCTTTGGTATGTCCCGGCCTGGGGAGAGAACCCACTGCCTACCCCACTTTGGTATGTCCCGGCCTGGGGAGAGAACCCATTGCCTACCCCACTTTGGTATGTCCCGGTCTGGGGACAGAACCCATTGCCTACCCCACTTTGGCATGTCCCGGCCTGGGGACAGAACCCATTGCCTACTCCACTTTGGTATGTCCCGGCCTGGGGACAGAACCCGTTGCCTATCCCACTTTGGTATGTCCCGGCCTGGGGACAGAACCCATTGCCTACCCCACTTTGGCGAACGCTCAACACTAAGGCCAAAAGTGGGGTATCAAAATGCGATGGAAAAGAAACGATAGCAAAGAAGCAAATAATCGTAACAGAGGAATTGCAATAACAAAAGTAGCGATGATCAGTTATTAAATATGCCATGATGAACATATAGATCGGATGACAGAGATATGTAGATACACTTGGATTATAGTAAAAAGAAAAGCGAAAAAAAAAATTATTCAAAGGTAGGAAATTTTGCAATTTCGGGAAATATAACGTTTTCGCCATCGCCAATAAATATCCTTTTTTTGTTTTTGTCTTTACATAATCGCAACAGTCAAGGTTACGATGGGTTTTCAATGGATTCCATACAAGGTTTACCCGAAGAGTCAACTCGCCCCCTATCTAAATAAAGGCCGCACAAAGTGTCTTAACAAACCTTTTCACCGCGAAATTGGATTATAAATAAGGCGGAACACAAAAACTTGGAAAGGGGACGAACCGTGGCAGTATTGATAAAGAAGTGTTAGCTTAATACCTAACAAACTTAATAGGAATATACGTTTTACCGCGGATTTTGGTTTATTTCAATACCAAATGAAAACTGTTTGTAGACTCGTATATCATAGAGAATTATAAAACATATTGAACATCCCGATTAAAAGGTTAAGAAAATCAGCAGATATAATTTCCAAATAAACATACTGTAAGTTGACTAGTCTGAGAATTTCGAGATTTAGTTTTGGCAGGTGGGCAGAAAAGATGTAAATATCCAAAGCATGAGCAGCTTAATGCCATTTGAATTAAAACGTCACCACCTAACTATTGACATAATACAGGCTATGTTAATAAGGTTTGAAAATGTTGTCTACATAAAATATTACTATATTTATTAATAACAGGAATGTTTGATATTAACTATTTCATTTGTAAATAATTGATAAATAGCATGTGCCATTGTGAAGATGACCAGACTTCGGACACCAAGATCCCGGACTTAATCTTCTACGCGGATGTGTTTGATCGTTAGGAAAGTGGTAATCTGTCTCTGACACCACGCACCCCGCCATACACTGTATAAATATGTACACCATAAGACGCGCAAAGATAGGTCTGTAAACAAACCTAGCGTGCGTCTATACTGAAATCATCCTATGATTCCACTATTTCAGGTTTTCTGTTTTCTTTTATATCGTGAAAGTTCATATCTCTCGACATTTCTCAACTTGTTCAATATCTTATCCAAGGACGTCATGTCAAGGTAACCCAGTGACGGGAGCCGAGGCCGCCGAATTCTTTCAATGTTTTTAGAACGCCCGTACGTAAATTGTACATTCCAACATCATTTGACCCGATTTGACCTAGGTAAGATTGACCTCTGCAACTGCGTTCATGACGTTGCTGGCTGCAAGTTCAATCTTTGTAAATAAGAAACCGACTGTTTTATATGCGGGTAACATGCTTTACATTCAGGGACAATATGTAACTGTTCAGTTTCGCTGAATCGATTATAATAATATAATTATAATTATAATCGATTATAATAATATAATTATAATTATAATCGATTATCATACACGATTCAGCTTCGCTAAACCGGACATTGATAAATAAACATATCCGGTTGTATTACACGGCGAAGATTCACTAATCCGGACACCACCTATAGTATATTTACATATTTTAGTATATTGAACTGTGATGTTTCGATAATCCGGACACCACATATGATAAATGTGTATGTCTCATTCCATTACATAGTAAAGCTTCTCTAATCCGAACCCCGCTTATAATTCTTACATTTATTTCAACCCTTTACTAGATGAAGATTCGCTTGTCCGGACAGTAAAAACCGAAACTATTGTATTCCGGAAGTTTAAATACTTATTTTGTAAATGTCATCCCATGTGTCTTAAATTTTGATATTGTTTTGTAAATAGAAATCCGGATTAACAGATTCCATCATACCTACAGTAATTCTGAAATTCTAGTCCATGGGCGAGTCCATCATTTTATTAAAGCCATGCTTCAGCGCTGATTGGTTGATAAATTGACCAATAACTACATTTAGCGCCATCGCGCCGATTCTGTCCACGACTTCCACAGCGGCGTTGTTAAAAATAAACCGATTCAAAAGATAATTCTGTTAGAAACAATACATTAAATATATGCATCTCGATCTGTACCGTGGGTGTCCTTCTGACTTTAGTTGTAACATGTCACATTAGATCTAAAAATAACGGTTTCTGTTAATAAATAGCGGGATAGGTATCTACCCCACACTTGCTGACGCCGATTTAAAACAAGGAGTGGTAACCCAAGGATACTTAAAACTTCATTTCTTAAAAAAATGTCTACATTTGCCAAAATGTCTTTCCTTCTTCTCGAAATTGGTGTATGCCTAACCGATATGAAGCAATTTGCAAGGTAATAAATAAATAAATAAACAAAGACGAGGAAATGCTTACGCTTATATCACATATCTTTTACACACTTTCCATTAAGAAAAGAAAAGTTGAAATGATGTCTCCTTATTTTCAGTTTCGGCAAAGAAGTTCACTCTGTCCTCCCCAGATGGCGGTGCTGCTGTCGACGACGAGTGGCGGGAACTGGAATAGGTGGTGCTGGTACGGAGGCTGAGCGTCTGTCTGGGGTCTCAGTAGATGGGTGTGAATGTGCTGCAATTGTTGTCACTGACTAAAGCATATATCACTTCGACAAATTCGTGCCCAGGTCTGTTTTATAGATATCGTGACTATATAAACGATGATAATCTCGCTTCATAATTCTGTATTTCTGATAATTTTTTTGTATCAAAAAGAATGTGCACAAAATATGAATGAACTCATCTAATTTTTTAACATTTCATTTTTATATTATTTGTCCATGATAATTGAATATCGATCGGAAGAGAATGCAAAGTGTCTGTAGAAGTGGTTACAGTTGGATTTTCTTTTTTTATAAAAGATTTTATCAAACTAACAATGCTTTTAAAAAAAGTGTGGTTTATGAAACAGCTTGCACGTCCCAGTCTGTGCTTTCCTGCACAGGTAGGTACAGGTAGGTTATTGAATACCTGTATCTGCAGGTGTGCCAAGCTATCAATTACCAGAGATTAACAGGGAATCCGTTAAAAATAGTAATGACGGTATGATACGGATTATGGAACACAAACCAACAATGGTTGAGCATATACCATCCTGGGTTTCTCACTTTACCTCAATCCCACTAACCCCAGTCCCAGCCCACATCCTAACCGCCCCCCTCCCCATTCACCACATTTCTATAATTAAAGGCGGAAATGTGATAGTGATAAACTTTACATGTATTGTTTAAACTGACCAACCAACTAAATAAAAATCTCAATCGTTCCGTTAGGGATTTACAGAATCATTGCCAAACATATCCCTCCCCAACCCCCTCCGTCATTCTCCGCCATTAATTTGATTTAGAATAAAACACGATATTTTTACGACACGTATCCTTCAAACCAATTAACAAACAAACGAAATCTAAATGCGTCCAACTAGCCTCGTCCCCAAATTGTATATGATGAGCCAAGTGCTGCCTTTCGCAGGAAACGAAGACTATAATCATGAATGCGGTAAATAAAATTAACACTTAACTATCAGAAAAGTCTCAACTATAAATATTTAATTAATTAAAATAACCTTACTGACATGAAAATAGTAGGAATATAATATTTGTCGATATGTTATTGTCCTGCCATTACAGAATAAGTTCGCATCAAAATTTCCAGGTGCACGGAAACTTTACAATCCTCGTGAAAGAGAGAGTTCAATGAGAGAAATGGACTAATTGAAAGAAAAACGAGTAAACGGTTGGTATACAAGTATTGTCAGCAAAGTTTGCAAATTCGTATCTAGTAGCAAAAATATATTCCCGATAGTGTACAAAAGAAAACTGTTGGTGACATTCAACCATTTCTATAAACATATTCAAGAATTACTTCCCTTTTTGGATGACTTCCGGTCGGATTGCTTTCGTGACATGCACAAACTTCAAAGACTAGCGGAACACTTGGGTGGGCCAATAAATAAAATCTGACATGTAGGACCCTCTGCAGTCTCAAACAGCTGTACCAAATGGAAAGGATTGGTATCATCAATTATGGTCTTTGTGTTAATTAGAATATATAGAAGATGAATTCCATTTTATTTTATTTATAATTATGACACTATTTTTTACGAAGGTCTTAAGAAATCATTTTTTCTAAATGACCATATACCAAATTCAATAAGGTTAAAATTGTCAGAAAAATAGGCTTCACATTATAAAAACCAATTGTTACATTTAAAATTTGGAGTATGTTCTCCAACATTGTGTGTGCATCCTTTCAGCCTTCACTTTTAGCTCGTCGGGTTTATAAGACATGCTATATACTAAGTTAGTATTCATTTAATTACAAATGACTGTGTTGTGTATTATTTAAATACTGTAGCTGATGAGCTACGACTTTGACAAGTTGAACTAGTTTTCATTCTTTGACAGATTTATTTATTTATGTATCGTTAGCGTTTGATTTTAAACGTTATTTTTTTTAAATAGGTTTACAAGCGATTTTTTTTAAACACAACATATATTCCTATATAACTTTGTAATATTTGTATAAATAATTTGGATTTAAGTGTGAAACTTAAACATATAAGTGTAACATAAAATTTTACACAAATTAACATGAAGCGCACACCCGGTCAGATGCCCCCCGGGGTAGCCGCTAATCACAGGGATATCAGATACCCTCGGGGTAAATGACGAGAATCTTTATCGTACGAATAGACTGCAATATCTGATTCATAACAGTCTTTAATGTTGTTTAATTCTCAGAGTTGGGTCGATAGAAACACGAGATAGCGGGTATAATAACGAGATTTAAGCAGTTATAATGAATTGCTCTTCTTCTATGTTTGTGTAATGAATCGTCATCCCGGGATTCTTAAATCTCATAACCCCGTGTGGCTATAATACATGACACCTTTTAAAGGTATACCTTGTTCCGGTAGCGGTTTAGTTTCAATCAGGTGTGCGCAATAGATGTTAGAAACTTAAGGAAGAATCTAAGAATCACCGCCTTTGTTAGGATAGTGTTTCTTCGTTTTTGATGACAATGGCTACTACTCATAATATATCATGTTTCCGTTCTATGTCATTTAGAGCAGATAAGACATGACGCACGTGCAAGCAAGCTCGTGCCTAACAGCTGGCGAGAATTGAGTGTAGAAATGTGAATTCTGCATGTTTTAACAAGAAATTTGGATGCGCAATCTGACTTGTTGATGGCCTTTGAAATATGAAGATTTATATAAAGAATTGCTGTATATGTTTCCAATAATAATAAAACGTTTTATTTGTATATTTAATATCCACATAAAACGCTTCATAAAATACAGTAATTGTACTGTCTAAAAGCAATTCAATATAAATAAGTATATATTGGTAATAACTTAAATTCGTTAAATTCCCGCCAAGGGCCCATACACAATTATCCAACTTGTTCGCTTTTGATTAATTTTAGAACTTTGTTTATGCGGGCCATTGTAATTAGGCTTGTATAAAGAAGTAAAAACAGAGGAATACAGAACCTGTTGGTACAGTGTTGACTTTCACACGTTCCTGTTTGATGATGTTTGTATATTACAATGCTGAACACAGAAGTACAATGTATAACGAACCAATGACATTGATCGGGCGCTTCCCAAATAAAGTACCTTTCAGGCGAGTACTGGCTTGCACCGAATATTGTCGACTGGGTTTCAAAAAGCCATGAGTCGTATGTGTAACCGGTATAGAAGTTTGATTTGTTTGTGTTTTACGTCCTATTAACAACTATGGTCATTTAATGACGTGTCAGGTTAAGTGGTGGAGGAGAGCCGGAGTACCCGTCTGCGTCCAGTACCTGGCGACTGCCCCGATATAGAAGTGAAAATCTTTCTGTACTTTGGTATATTTATAAAAGCATGGGCATTCATTTCTATATTGCTCAATTGTGTCTTTACTGAGCCGTAATGTTGAGGTGAAAAGCTTTATAAGTGTCTGTAAATATTGCATAATCAATCACTCAACTTCTGGTTTTGTTATCCTAGCCTGTGAGGGTCACTCAAACAAGCTGACATATTTAAACAAAACAACTAAATGTACTTTACAGGTGAATGAAAGCAACAACCGGAAGTATCGTGACGATCTACTTCCGGTTCCTGTCGACGGGACCTTCGGGAAGTCGAAAATGATTGTTTACGTCGGATGCAGCGTAACGATGTAACACATTGTACAGATTCCAGTCAAAACCCACAATACGGTAACTAAAAATGGCGTCCTTCGCCTACCGTACCCCGCACTCGCAGCAGGAGATTGACATATTGGCTTGAATTGAATCAGTGAAAGGATTTTGTTCTATTTTTCGACAATACAAACAGGACAGTCAATGTCTGCGAAGGTCACAGCATATATGCGAAGTTTTGTCATTTATAACAAATGTTTTGTCATTTTTTTCCACGAGTCCAATAAAATTTGAAAATGCTTGTATATATAGATTATAATGGTCGCTAATATCATTAAACTAATACACAGAATTATAAACTAGCTTTTCCTCCACCAGGATTGCTTAAAGCATTGTATCGGTCACGCGAGACTTGATGTGATATCACCTTATTATGATTTCGGTCATTACAATGATATCACCTAGATGAAATAAAAGGTAAAATGTTGGATCCCCATTGGCCTGAGTCAGAGCTAAAATCGTTTCCTGTTTCTGCTGCAATTTACAGACCTACCCTTAAAATCATTGATGCATGCATCCACAAAATTCTTATACCGGCTATTCATAAAGTACATCCGGGTCACCAACGTTCCTTTGTATCAAGGTGGTTAAATCAGGTACAGCTATGACGTCATAACAACAACGACGGTGTGACGTCACGATTTTAATGGATATGGAAACCATATGTTACATGGTGGTGCCGCGGTGACCGAGTGCAGGTAAAGGCGTCTGACCGACCGTCCAAGATCACTAGCCCTCCACCACTGGGTCTAGGGATTGAGGCCTACGTGGGGCAGTCGTCAGCTACTGACCCACAGGTCGGTTGTTTTCTCCGGGTACTCTGTCTTTCCTCCCCCACCAAAATCTGGCAGGTCCTTAAATTACCATAACTGTTAATAGGATGTAAAACACGATCAAACAAACATCCAGTAGAAATAAGAAACAATATTTATTATGATTATGTATAACAATAACAAAACAGGCCTGATATTTCAATGACTTAGTACATTGTTTTGTGATCGTTTTGAATCCAAATTTTCGGATTTAAAAAACAATGTGAGAATAACAAAATTATATAAAATATTTTTTTACAAATACGTATTATTAAAGAATGAAATTATTTAAAACTTGTCCTTTTCTGTCATAATTTCAACCTGAAATCTGGAAAATAATTAAAGAGCTCACGTGATTATTTACAAGTAACAGTTTTGTCCATTTGTAGTCTTAAGACTTTCTTCAGAACAAAAATATGCATGAAACATCAATATACGAAATGGTTAACGCCAGCCTCACTTTTCTTAACGTAAGCCTCATTCTGGGTAACGCAAGCTTAAGTCTAGTTATCGCCAGCCTCAATTAAGCTAATAGTTACCTGACTTTTGTTAACTTCAGTCACACCCTAGTTAACACAAGCCTCGCTCTATCCTTACTTTTATTAACTCCAGCCTTATTCTAGTTAACGCCAGCCTAACTGTAGTTGACGTAAGCCTCATTTTAATTAATGCCAACCTCGCTCTAGTTTACGCCAGCCTCATTCTAGTTAACGACAGCCTTATTCTAGTTAACGACAGCCTCGCTCTAGTTTAAGTCAGCCTCATTTCAATTAAAGCCAGTCTGATTCTAGTAACGCCAGCCTCGCTCTAGTTAACGCAAGCCTCACTTTAGTAATGCCAGTCTCACTGTAGTTAACACCAGTTTCACTCTGGTTAACGCCAGCCTCAATTCTGAATGTCATCTTATTTTAGTTAACACCAGCCACATTTTCATTTATTCCAGCCTCGCTCTAGTTTACACCGGCCTCATTTTAATCAATGTCAGCCTCGCTCTAGTAACACAAGCCTCGATCTAGTAACGCCAGATTCACTCTAGTTAACGCCAGCCTCATTCTAGTTATCGTCAGCCTCATTGTAGTTATTGCCAACCTCATTCTAGTAAACGACAGTCTTATTCTAGTTAACGACAGCCTCATTCTAGTAAACGCCAGCCTCGCTCTAGTTAACGCCAGCTTCACTCTAGGAACGCCAGTCTCACTGTAGTTAACACCAGCTTCACTCTGGTTAACGCCAGCCTCAATTATGAATGTCATCTTATTTTAGTTAACACCAGCCTCATTTTCAATAATTCCAGCCTCGCTCTAGTTAAAGCCAGCCTCATTCAACCTAAATCAAGCCTCCCTTACGTTAACGTCAGCCTCTCTTTTGTTAACGTCAACCTCGCTCTAGATAATGCAAGCCTCATTCTAGTTAACGCCAGCCTCATTCTAGTTAGCTCTAGCCTCATTCCAGTTAACGCCAGCCTCATTCTAGCTTTCCAAAGATCACTACTTTATGTATTGATGAATCTCGTTATAACGATTCGGCAAAACGAATTTACACGTGCATGTTCATGCCATCAAACTTTTAGATCGACGTTAGATCGGCCGATTGTCAGAGGAGACCGACTACCAACTGAACAAACCAAAACGCTAACCAGACTGCATGCCTACACAATAAAGCTACAGAGACAGTTTTTTTTCCAAAAATTTAATTAGCTAATGACAAAACGAAATTCTACCAATTACTTTTAATTCCGGTTTCGCTTCACAGGTGTGAAAAAAAACAGCGGCTGTTCACCACGACTCGCTGAACAAAGTTATAAACTGGAGTAACTGACTGTTTGCTGAGGCTGGTTTTATTAACCCGTGTGAAATCAACTATATGATATAAACGTATATATTGTGCCATTATAAACATAATCTATGGCTTCGATCAAAAATTGCAGAATGGAGCCGTAAATTTTACCATTATGGTCTGATTATACGCATGTCAAGGTATGCTCCCCGGGGGAGCGGTGAGGTCAATTTGTGACGTCACGATTCGTTGATCACAAACATCGTTCCTGCTTTGTTCCAATCAGAGCTATTTTCCTTAGGTAAACGTTTGTTTTTCAGACAATTTTATTAATTAAATATATTTTTATAACGACAAATGTTAATAGCATTGCAGCACATGAAACTGTGGGGTTTCACTCGGTGTTGTGTAAATGCGATAGAAAACTAGTTCTTTTGAAATCGAAATTGAAAACTAAAAAAAATCAGTGATAAAAAAATCCTGAAGAGAGAATTCCTTTGAAAGAAACCAATTTAATAATTTCAGACAATAAATCACGCATAATAATGTGGGAACTTCACAGGTTTCCATAAAATGGTTCGAATAGCATATTTTCAAAACAAATTAATACATGTTGTTGGCGACTTTAATGTGTCTTTAAAATGAAATGTCTACATAAGATGAAATTTTGTAAATAAAACTCAATATGTATAGGTAAATTTAATAATAATTAATTGTATGGTTATAACATACCTTTGGAGACATTATTTTAAATACCCCCGTTGTGAGCCTCAGATACGATGCACACGAAATGTAACATTTTCAAAAGAGTAAATAGAGACAATTTACCTTTGAATCACAATTAACCATTCGTGCACACCTGAAAACACGTCGTTAATTGGACAAGTGAGGAATTTTACGATCCCCGTAAGAGGTTATATCAAGTTTCAATTACAAAATACAGCAACTCCTTCCAACTTGGCTGGTGGTGTTCTTTCAAGAATGCGACCTTCGTTTGACTGAGATCATTTAGCTCTGATATATCGCCATCAGCGTATCCATTTTATATAGACAGCAATTTGTTATGTCCGAATCAGGAATGACTTTCTGTTGAAGAAAGTATGGTCTGTTAAATGAAATAGCAAGTGAAATTAGCTAAGTAACTGTGAACCTTTTAAGGCAACACCAATTAAGACGATGTCGAGCTTTTCCCATGACTATTAATATCTCGAATTCGACTAGAAACCATCTTAAATACACACGGACAAGTTCCTTATTCAAAGTCTATAAATGAAAAAGAACTGGATACACCAAAACAAAAGGAAAGGCATCATGAACTTTCACAAAACCCATGTGTTCCGGAAGGATCAGCGGTACCAGCTCAACAAGTGTCACCCGTCCCGAACCTTGGACAGAAGGTGATGGAAGTATAACATTGGTTCTTTCTTCGTGTACAAAAATGTTCACAATTTTCTGATTTAATAAACAACGTTTTTCTCTATTTCTAAGTACACTTTCGTTGTTTTTCTGACATGGCAGTTATGATAATATCACACTCGTGTACTATAATCCTTCAAAACTTACCTTGAACAATAAAGGATTACATAGTATATACTTGATAACAACTTGATACATACATGCAGCAAGATGGGTGACGCGATTTGGTCCCAAATAGTTCTTCTGCATTTGAGGGGAGTCAAGTTGGTTGACGAAGTTGGTATTTTCCTGTGGTTTCCAGGGAGATGTGCAATTGGCGAGTTTTGCAAACAATGGCAGTACGCATATTATCTTGGCTCATTAAGCAATGAATACGTTTCAATTAAAATGCATATGAATTCATGAAGAAAACAATGAGAGATCTATAAAGGTAAATTTATTGTTAATGCAATTTCGTGAGATATCCTTGTCCGCGATCGTCTTTGCTTGTGAGCTAACGCAAAAACAAAGATCTCACTAAGCATAAATCACATAATGTATATATCTATTTTGGAAAAACCCGTACTTATATATATTTGGTGATACACGTGGTAATAGAGATCAATGTTATTTTTCATGAACATCATCACCTACAGTAGTGCAAATCCGCAGAAAATGATTACTCACGAAGTAGTAGTGACGCACAGTATCTCATCGTGTGTCGTCGGTAGAATGGGTCATACTCGGAGTCCCTGGGTATGTTGACAACTCACGTGTCAATAGACCATCCTAACAGTTATGGACATCGTCATCATACGTAAAGATACGATAAGCGTTCTTTGTGACTAGGCTAACATGTTAGCTATGTGTGTGAGTTAAGATGGCATATAACTTATCCGCGTGGAAATATCAGCAAAATATATCAAAACATTCCGGAAACGTCGGCACTTTCCGTAAACGGAAAAATACGATAATTCGTTTACGGAAAATCCCGACAGTTCCCGATTATCTATCGTAATTCGCCACAATTCTCGAATAGGCATTTGTTTTCAAATTTTCATATTCATAGCTTATTGATTTGTAACAAATAATCTTTCAATATTGTAGACACGATAATGACAAAACGGTTTTTATCGTTTGCATGAATATTGAATTTATTATTTTGATCCGCATTTCATTATTTTATTACGTAATGAACCAGGTGTCTTGTTCCTTTGTCCCCCATGTTAAGGATGACGTAT